TAGCTGCTACACGTGTAGTAGCTGCAATACGTGTAGTACCTGCAACACGTGTAGTAGCTGCAAAACGTGTAGTAGCTGCAACACGTGTAGTAGCTGCCACACGTGTAGTAGCTGCCACACGTGTAGTAGCTGCAACACGTGTAGTAGCTGCAACACGTGTAGTAGCTGCAACACGTGTAGTAGCTGCAACACGTGTAGTAGCTGCTACACGTGTAGTAGCTGCAACACGTGTAGTAGCTGCAACACGTGTAGTAGTTGAAACGCGTGTAGTAGCTGCAACACGTGTAGTAACTGCTACACGTGTAGTAGCTGCCACACGTGTAGTAGCTGCAACACGTGTAGTAACTGCTACACGTGTAGTAGCTGCAACACGTGTAGTAACTGCTACACGTGTAGTAGCTGCTACACGTGTAGTAGCTGCAATACGTGTAGTACCTGCAACACGTGTAGTAGCTGCAAAACGTGTAGTAGCTGCAACACGTGTAGTAGCTGCCACACGTGTAGTAGCTGCCACACGTGTAGTAGCTGCAACACGTGTAGTAGCTGCAACACGTGTAGTAGCTGCAACACGTGTAGTAGCTGCAACACGTGTAGTAGCTGCTACACGTGTAGTAGCTGCAACACGTGTAGTAGCTGCAACACGTATAGTAGCTGAAACGCGTGTAGTAGCTGCCACACGTGTAGTAGCTGCGGACCCACTCTTTGTTGTCGAGTGAGAATCGACGACGATTGCCACCGAACGTCGATCATAGATCTCCCCGGTTCGTCGATCATCGATCTCCCCGGTCCGTCGATCATCGATCTCCCCGGTCTCCCGACTGCGACAGCGCTCTCGACGCAGTCTGAGGGAGGTGCGCGTGCCCCCTGGTGACGATTGTGGAGCCACGCAACTTCCAGAAATTCCCTGCATCGGTGGATGAAGCGACATCACATTTAGCCACTGCTGCGCCTCTATAATAATCATAGTTGCTGTTAATATCAGTTTCCCAGATCGTTGTTGTTATGCTGCGCTATTCTGAACTTCTAGCGGGAATTAATATTTGCACTTAGTATCCCTACAGATTAATGTTTACACCTACGATCCCGACAGATGAATAGTTACACTTACGATCTCACTGATCGTAATGCCTAGAGCCCAGCAACCACTCCAGCAGTCACTCAGCAGTCACTCCTCAGCACCAATTCAGCAGTCACTGATCGTGATAGTCACTGCTCATGATGCCGAGAGCTCAACCCAGCGCTCAGAAGTCACTCAGCAGCAAATCAGCAGTTACTCAGTCACTCAGCAGTCAGTCAGTGATCGTGATAAGTCAGTGATCGTGATGCCTATTCACTGATCATGCCTAAAGCTCAGCCCAGCAGCCGCGCCAGCAGTCACTCAGCAGTCATTGATCGTGATGCGTAGAGCTCAAACCCAGCAGCCGATTCGTTAAGTGGAAGTCTTCGATCCATTGCTTAGGGTCCCATAGTTTAAAGTTCGTGTATTAATGGTGGGGTGGGGGTGGGTGTTGTACTTTGGTTGATGTGGCGCAAAAGCGACTGCTAGGCCTCCTGTATCTATTGCTATGTGGGGAGTTGGACAAGACCGGATCTGACATGGGAGACTTTTTCAGGATGGATTTAGACCCGGGCACGATGCCAAAGGGATTGAACGCGCGTGAGAGTGGGGCAGCTACCCCCCACCCCACCCCAGACTGGGCAGCATTGGAATCCCCTGGCCGTTCTATTCGGGTTGGCTGTGCTGCCACTTGTTGGCTCACGTCTTTGTGCAGTCAAATACCATAAGGCGGACAACAGCGTCTCATGCCTAGAGCTCAGCCCAGCAGTCACTCCAGCAGTCACTGATTGTGATAGTCACTGATCGTGATGCCCAGAGCTCAACCCAGCAGAAATTCAGCAGTCAGTCACTGCTCGTGATGCCTAGAGCCACTCCAGCAGTCACTGAGTCACTGATCGTGATTGTCACTGCTCGTGATGCCTAGAGCCCAACCCAGCCCCACTCCAGCAGTCACTGAGTCACTCAGTCACGCAGCGATCACTGAGTCACTGATCGTGTCACTGCTCGTGATGCCTAGAGCCACCCCAGCAGTCACTGAGTCACTGATCGTGATTGTTACTGCTCGTGATGCCTAGAGCCACTCCAGCAGTCACTGAGTCACTGATCGTGATTGTCACTGCTCGTGATGCCTAGAGCCACTCCAGCAGTCACTGAGTCACTGATCGTGATTGTCACTGCTCGTGATGCCTAGAGCCACTCCAGCAGTCACTGAGTCACTGATCGTGATAGTCACTGCTCGTGATGCCTAGAGCCCAACCCAGCCCCACTCCAGCAGTCACTGAGTCACTCAGTCACGGAGCGGTCACTGAGTCACTGATCGTGTCACTGCTCGTGATGCCTAGAGCCACTCCAGCAGTCACTGAGTCACTGATCGTGTCACTGCTCGTGATGCCTAGAGCTCAACCCAGCCCCCAATCCAGCAGTCACTCAGTCACTCAGTCACGCAGCGGTCACTGAGTCACTGATCGTGATAGTCACTGCTCGTGATGCCTAGAGCCACTCCACCAGTCACTCAGCAGCAACTCCAGCAGTTACTGAGTCACGTAGCGGTCACTCAGTCATCTGATGGTGGCAGTCACTCTGCTCATGACTACACTATGTAACACAATTTGTGTTCCTGGGTAGTGTTATTTCGTAATTTCTTATGCATATACAGTGAGGGAAAAAAGTATTTGATCCCCTGCTGATTTTGTACGTTTGCCCACTGACAAAGAAATGATCAGTCTATAATTTTAATGGTAGATTTATTTGAACAGTGAGAGACAGAATAACAACAACAAAATCCAGAAAAACGCATGTCAAAAATGTTATAAAGTGATTTGCATTTTAATGAGGGAAATAAGTATTTGACCCCTCTGCAAAACATGACTTAGTACTTGGTGGCAAAACCCTTGTTGGCAATCACAGAGGTCAGACGTTTCTTGTAGTTGGCCACCAGGTTTGTACACATCTCAGGAGGGATTTTGTCCCACTCACTTTGCAGATCTTCTCCAAGTCATTACGGTTTCGAGGCTGACGTTTGGCAACTCGAACCTTCAGCTCCCTCCACAGATTTTCTATGGGATTAAGGTCTGGAGACTGGCTAGGCCACTCCAGGACCTTAATGTGCTTCTTCTTGAGCCACTCCTTTGTTGCCTTGGCCGTGTGTTTTGGGTCATTGTCATGCTGGAATACCCATCCACGACCCATTTTCAATGCCCTGGCTGAGGGAAGGAGGTTCTAACCCAAGATTTGACGGTACATGGCCCCGTCCATCGTCCCTTTGATGCGGTGAAGTTGTCCTGTCCCCTTAGCAGAAAAAACACCCCCAAAGCATGTTTCCACCTCCATGTTTGACAGTGTTCTTGGGGTCATAGGCAGCATTCCTCCTCCTCCAAACACGGCGAGTTGAGTTGATGCCAAAGAGCTCAATTTTGGTCTCTTCTGACCACAACACTTTCACCCAGTTGTCCTATGAATTATTCAGATGTTCATTGGCAAACTTCAGACGGGCATGTATATGTGCTTTCTTGAGCAGGAAGACCTTGCGGGCGCTGCAGGATTTCAGTCCTTCACGGCGTAGTGTGTTACCAATTGTTTTCATGGTGACTATGGTCCCAGCTGCCTTGAGATCATTGACAAGATCCTCTCGTGTAGTTCTGGGCTGATTCCTCACCGTTCTCATGATCATTGCAACTCCACGAGGTGAGATCTTGCATGGAGCCCCAGGCCGAGGGAGATTGACAGTTATTTTGTGTTTCTTCCATTTGCGAATAATCGCACCAACTGTTTGTCACCTTCTCACCAAGCTGCTTGGCAATGGTCTTGTAGCCCATTCCAGCCTTGTGTAGGTCTACAATCTTGTCCCTGACATCCTTGAAGAGCTATTTGGTCTTGGCCATGGTGGAGAGTTTGGAATCTGATTGATTGCTTCTGTGGACAGGTGTCTTTTATACAGGTAACAAGCTGAGATTAGGAGCACTCCCTTTAGGTGTGTGCTCCTAATCTCAGCTCGTTACCTGTATAAAAGACACCTGGGAGCCAGAAATCTTTCTGATTGAGAGGGGGTCAAATACTTATTTCCCTCATTAAAATGCAAATCAATGCATAACATTTTTGACATGCGTTTTTCTGGATTTTTTTGTTGTTATTCTGTCTCTCACTGTTCAAATAAACCTACCATTAAAATTATAAACTGATCTTTGTCAGTGGGCAAACGTACTGTACAAAATCAGCAGGGGATCAAATTCTTTTTTCCCTCACTGTAAAGTATAGAAAGTGGCTATTATTCCCCACAAACTTTGCTTTTGTGACAGGACAGAGATATTTTGAAATGTACCTATTTTCAATGATAAAACGGGCGAATTTGTGTATTTTCGTTCACATAAAGTCAGAAAAAAACAACATATGAATACAAATTTACATGCATTTATACTAAAGGAATACAAATATGACTACAAAACATTTAGGAGTTTGTCGAGATTGCTCCTCCCCACAGAGAGCTCGGTCCGCTGTGGCCAGTCCCGCCTGTGGTAGTGCGCCTTGGTGTCTAAATGTTTTGTAGTAATTTTTCTATTACTTTAGTGTAAAGACATGTTAATTTTGATTCACGTGTTGTTTTATTGACTTTACGTGAACGAAAAGACACAAATTCGCCCGTTTACTCATTGCAAATAGGTACATTTCAAAATATCACTGTCCTGGTTACAAAAGCAAACTTTGTGGGGAACAGCCATTTTCTGTACTTTTGCGGCATAAATAATTAAGAAATAACACTTACTACTCAGGAACACAAAATTACCGTAATTGTTACACAGTGCGAACACTTATGGAATCGTTTACTGTCGATTCCAGGCGGGGTCTGGACGCGCGCGTCGATTCCTCGCGACCCCGGCAATAATAACGACAACGATTCCCGCACTCCCGCCCAATCGGAGGCGATTCCACCGGGGTTCGTTAATCATGCGCGAGGAATCGATTACGTGGAGCGTGCCGATGGAGTCGGTTCCACGTTATATAAAAAAGTGATCACGAGGAATCGAATCGATCTCAAATCTCCGTCTCGCGCTTTGTTTGGGGGTGTTCAGCGACCCCTCATCATCAACACCAAGCCACCTCATCATCATCATCGACGACGCCTCCTCCTCCTCGTCTCCTCGTCTGTTGCTGCTCCTCGTCTCCGCAGAGATGTGCGGCTGTATACTGGGGCAGGTGAGGCCGGCCGCTGCGCTGATTTCCTCTCCCCCCTCCACTCTCGGCCGCATCTCTCCACTCGCTCGCCGGCGATGTTCGGGTTATGGCTTGATGGGATTAGGGTTGTGGTTATATGGCTTGATGTTGGGTTTAGGGGTTGTGGTTATGGCTTTATGTTGGGGTTATGACTTGATGTTGGGTTTAGGGGTTGGGGTTATGGCTTGATATTGGGTTTAGGGTTTGATGTTGGCCTTATGGCTTGATGTTGGAGTTATGGTTTGATGTTTGGAGTTATGGCTTGATGTTGGAGTTATGGCTTGATGTTGGGCTTAGGGGTTGCAGTTATGGCTTGATGTTGGGTTATGGCTTGATGTTGGAGTTATGGCTTGATGTTGGGCTTAGGGGTTGGAGTTATGGCTTGATGTTGGGGTTATGGCTTGATGTTGGGTTATGGCTTGATGTTGGAGTTATGGCTTTATGTTGGGTTTAGGGGTTGGAGTTATGGTTTGATGTTGGAGTTATGGCTTGATGTTGGGTTATGACTTGATGTTGGGCCTGTGGCTTGATGTTGGAGTTATGGCTTGATGTTGGAGTTATGGCTTGATGTTGGAGTTATGGCTTGATGTTGGGTTATGGCTTGATGTTGGGCTATGGCTTGATGTTGGAGTTATGGCTTGATGTTGGAGTTATGGCTTGATGTTGGGTTATGGCTTGATGTTGGGTTATGGCTTGATGTTGGAGTTATGGCTTGATGTTGGAGTTATGGCTTGATGTTGGAGTTATGGCTTGATGTTGGGGTTATGGCTTGATGTTGGGTTTATGGTTTGATGTTGGAGTTATGGTTTGATGTTGGAGTTATGGCTTGATGTTGGGGTTATGGCTTGATGTTGGGTTTATGGTTTGATGTTGGAGTTATGGTTTGATGTTGGGCTTGTGGCTTGATGTTGGGTTATGGCTTAATGTTGGGTTTAGGGGTTGGGGTCATGACTTGATGTTGTGGCTTAATGTTGGGGTTATGGCTTGATGTTGGGGTTATGGCTTGATGTTTTTGTTTAGGGGTTGGGGTCATGACTTGATGTTGTGGCTTAATGTTGGGGTTATGGCTTGATGTTGGGGTTATGGCTTGATGTTGGGTTATGGCTTGATGTTGGGTTTAGGGGTTGGGGTCATGACTTGATGTTGTGGCTTAATGTTGGAGTAAGGGTTGGGACAACTCCGGGGCTGTGGCCTTGCCGCCGTGGGAGCTGTGGTCGCGAAGTGTTTCCCCCTCCGCGGCCGCCGCATGGCATGAAGCCACCCGGTCGGTGACCGTTCAACGCCAAGCGACTGACGCTGCCATAGGAACGTGTAATTTCCATCCCTGGCAAACAGAGCGCTGCTCCATGTCCGAGGCGCTCCGCTGTATAAACTCCCCTGGACGCCGCGTGTTTGTCGGCGGCTGGCCCTCCCCCTTGTAGACTTTTGGCTTCGCTCTGTTGTTGTTTTTGTTGTTGTGGTTGGTGGTGGTGGTGGTGAAACAGCCATAAGCTCCAGCGTTGGTGCCGCGTCGCGGCGCTCCCGACCCGGTACGAACGCTGAACCCCTTAACTGAGCGGAGGGCCAACGGGAATCCCCCCGAGTTATACGCCTTAGTAGTTGGTACAAGAGTAAACAATGCAGCGCGCAACAACAATTCCAAGGAAACATCACAATTTAAGGTAAAAATAAAAACCCCGCAGCCGTCGCCGCAGGCTTCCGCCCACACCACCTCCTCCCCCGTCCCACTTCCCAAAATTGTCTTAGTCTGCTTTCTTCATCTCTGACTTCACACAGCAATGCCCTCGCCCTTTCGAGTCTCGAGACCTTTCTACTCGCAGTCACCAAGCTGAAGCCTGCCTTGTGTTCCAGTGCAGGACTTAAAATGCCCCCCCCCCACCCCAATGCTCCCCCCACCCCCGTAAGAATTTCACTTTGTTTTGTGATTTAGATTTTGGAAGTTAATTGGAACAAAAATTAACTCGACAATCAAAAAGTCACCGTCGTTATCGGCAATGGTCAAGCCACTGCTGGACGAGAATGCTTCCTCACTCCAGCGCGATCCCTAGCAGTGGTGCAGTGCCACGATCCGATCTCGTGGCTCCCATCTGCACAGTTGGTCATCGGTCCCCTCTCTCAGGTTCTGTTCCCTTTCCTTTGGTGGCAGTCACTATCACCACTATCGACCGTCACCCATCATCACCCCCTTCTCGTGATGTCTCCAGCACAAGCCCACCTGGTCAGGTCGCTTCTGAAAAATGTGTTAATTTCCGTGGGAATTGCGTGGTAGGATGGGGATGTTTTAGTTTTATTTGTATGTGTTTGGGTGATTTGTTTACCTTTTATTGTACTTTGCACTACTGTCATGTTTGTGTATTGTTTGTTGTAACGTTCTTACCCACCCCTACTGGACATCTGTGAAAAAGAGCTTTATAGCTCATCGGATTCCTCGATTAAAAATACATATTCTGATTCTTCAAAATTTTAACAATGTGATGCCTAATTTTGGTTTATTTCCCTCTTCCATATATTCCTGATTCTGTCTCTCTGTAATTCCCAGCATGTGTCTTTATGCTTTGCACTTTTCAGCTTTTGTTCCATGATTTCTGTCAGTGTCTGTGCTTCTCATGATTTTTAATAGCAGGTAACGAGCACTGTGGTTGTTTTTTTTTTCCCAGCTTTACAGAACCATCTTTTTTTTTAAATCACGGTTGCTAAGCACCTACTCAAAGTGCCACGTGGCGAGCAACAAACGGTACTATTTAAAGTGTAAATAGATCAGAGTTAATGGTTCCTGAATGGAGCGAGATTTTTTTTAATGATAAGAGCTTGGGGTGAAAATAGGAGACGATGGGAGGGAGTTACAAAGTGGAGCAGTAATATTGAGAAGAGTTTGTGACCTCCGATTTGATTTGGTGTTTGAACGCAGTGCAGTGGATAATGAGATGGAATGGGCAACATCTGGCTGGTAGAACGAGACCTCATCATGGGTGGAAGGAATCGACGAGTGAAGTTTACGGCTAACGGTAGTCATGATGGAAGATTGATAAGGAGGCGACCGAAGCTAAACTAAACTATTTTAATCTTCCCAGGGTAAGGCCCACTGAGCTGCATAGCTCTTTTGCAGGAGGGATCTGGCCACAAATGATAGCTCAAAAAAGTGGCTTATCACTTGGAAATGTATATCAGCCAAATACTCTAAACGCATGTTTCTAAATGTGGAGGAAAAAACTGGAGGAACCGGAGAAAAATTCACGCGACCACGGGGAGAACATGCAAACTTCCAATATACAGGCGTCAGGGTCGGGTTCGAACTCTCGACCTCCTGCATACCAGGCGAGGTAGTTAACATCTCGCCGCCGTGACTGACCGCCGGCGAGCGAGTGACTGGAGTGAATCGGGGAGCGTTGGATCATCAATCACCCTGACTGCTGCTTTACGTTGCATTCTGCCAGTGAGGTAGGAGCTGGGTACTCCACCCCAGCTATGACAGCAGCGAGATTCCACTTGCTGCCACGTGTGCTGCGTGTAGCAGCGGTAATAGTTCGGAGCGTGTCTGTGGCTTTGGCACAGAAAGGAAAATTTAGCTTCTTTCATGCTTCCTTAGCCAGATGAGTAATGCAGATGTTGCGCCAAGCAGATGAACGGTTTCTCCATGGCTGAGAATATCATGCATAGATATAATGAAACTGTGGTGTTGTCAGCTTTGCATGCGATTATCTCTGATCGGATTTTCTTTATTTTAACGTGACCGGGCTCTGTTTCACCGTCCTGCTCTTGCTCATCTTTTTCGTTTTCATCATCAGTAATTGCCCCTTACAGTGGTGTATATTCTCCTGTGCCTTCGAGTTGTGCCCCCTCCTCTGACAGATATCTGCCGCTGTTGATGGTGATTATGACGGTGGTGATTGCAAACGGCTCATTTTCTTTGCAGCCTAATCATCCTGTGGTTTTTTCGGAGCCAAAAGGAGACTTTTATTATTAACACGGCCCAGCGGTAGCACGTTCGCCACTTGTTGCCGCGGTATCGCGGTGCGAATCCAGTGGCCGCCCTGGTTAACACTACGGTGTGTAACAACCGTAACATTGCTACGCGTCGTCTGCTTTACGGTGGCCGTTAAAGACCCCCTGATGTTTTCCAAGAGTAGGCCACTGTGACTGGTGTCAAGGTCCAAATTTAGCAAATTAGAAACTTACACCACGATAGAGGTTTTTTTGGATTAGATCGCGTAAATGTGAATGTGTCGTGAAACCCACCACCACCTGGCACAGCCAATTAGTAAGGTTTGTCACATAAACAAAATGTGCCAATTAGTTTCTAGTTCAGCACACCGATGTGTTGGGGAGAGTAAACCCACAACATTTACAATTCAAGTACGATTTTTGCTGGTAAATTTTTACCAGCCTCATTTGACAACAGCCAAAACTTGTACCAATTGGCTGTGTCGGGTGGTGGCGGGTTTAGCAACACATTTATATTCATGCGATCTAACCCAACGAACCTCTGTTATGAATAACATTGGCCAAGAAAGCCTACGTGTTAAAAACTTCCTCGCATATTGCTCAATTGCGATTATACACAGCGGCAATCATCTATCTGCCCCCTTCCTGGCATATTAATGCCCCAGGTCATACTTGCAAATTAGACCCGTTCCTGATGATCTCTTCGAGTTCTCCCGGAGTTTTTAAGCAAAATAAACTCGAAACTTTTTTGCCCAGTGCTGAGAGAGAGATGTTGTGGGGGGAAGCTGGAGCGACGTCGACAGAGACCCGCGTCTGTGCCGTCTGGTGGCGGTGGCCGAGCGCCATTCCTTCGTCGTCACGGGGACAAAATAAACGCACGACGAATCTCTCTCACTCGAACCATAACCCCCATAACAATTGCCAAGCAAATGCCACGGAAACATTTCAGCCCCCTGTCTTTGCAACTACGACCGCATTCACAGCGACCAAAAAAACGGAAAAAGACAAACGAAGCTATCTCTCAGTGGCCGGTGTCCCCC